CCGATTGACGGAGGTTGATCGGCGTAATGGCCGGAGTAATCATCTCACCCGCTTCTCTTCTCGACCTTATCGCCGAGATTGTTGAGATTCCAGTCAACGCCGGCGTTTTCAAAAAGGACTGCGCCGATCTCACTCGACGAGTCTGTCTCTTGACGCATTTAGTAGAAGAGATTAGAGACTCTAAACCGATCGATTCCGCCGCTTCTTCTTCGTTGATCTCATCGGAAAATGATTGGTGGTCTGATCTCGTGGTTGGGCTTCAAGCTTCGAAGCGTCTTCTCTCCATAGCTACTCGATTCCAAGCTCGCGACTCCTCTGTAAGCAAAATCTTGCAGTTTCCATCGATCCACTAATTGCACATTTTGTTCCTGAAATTGTTCGATCTCATTAAATTCGTAGATTTCAGATATTAGGATTACTGGTTTAGAATCGGTTAAATGTATGGTTATCTCTGGTTTGGCTGAAATTTGAATTTTCTCGGTTAAAGGATGGTGATGCGAAGAGAATCTCTTTCCAGTTCCAGTGCATTACATGGAAGCTGGAGAAAGCATTGAGTAATCTTCCATACAATTTATATGATATCTCTGACGAAGTTAGAGAACAGGTAACTTTCATTCATGCCCATGTTGGTGGTCCATGTTTGTGTTTTGAAAGAAAGAAATGATTTCTTAGTGTTTTTGGAGGTTTTAAAAGCTTGTTTCTTTTGGTTGTGTATCAGGTTGAACTAGCGAGATCGCAGTTGATAAGAGCAATGCAGAGATACGGTTCGTTGAATTCGAAGAAGTTTTCGAGTGCTTTATCTGAGCCGATGGAGAGAGATGTTTTTAGTAGTATAAAGATCAAAGTTGAGGAAGAAAAGCTTGAGAGTATTTCAGAAACACTTCTGTTTCTCGAGGAGAAGAAACAAGATTTGCGGCCGCGGAAAAGCTCTTCCGTTTCTCTGGCCTTTTATTTATCGAAGGATGCGGATACAGATAGATTAGACAAAATGGTCACCAAGAACACTGAAGAATTGAAGAAATCTGATAAACTAACGATTCCAGTAGATTTTCTTTGTCCAGTATCTCTGGAACTGATGAAGGATCCTGTAATCGTCGCCACAGGACAGGTCTGATTTCAAGATTTTATAGCACTTTTACTTTTGTTGTTGCTTGGGTATTGTTAACTTCTCTCTTCTATGGCAGACTTATGAGAGGGCTTACATACAGAGATGGATACACTGTGGGAATCTAACATGTCCAAAGACCCAACAGACACTCGAACACTTTACGCTAACACCAAATAACGTTCTTAGAAGCTTGATCTCTCGGTGGTGCACTGAACACAACATTGAGCAACCCGCAGTTTACATCAACGGCAGGTCAAAAAACCGTGGAGACATGTCAGTGATCCGGGCATTGGTTCAGAATCTCTCAAGCCGGTCCACAGAAGATCGCAGGAATGCGGTTTCTGAAATCCGGTCTCTGTCAAAGAGAAGCACCGACAATCGCATTTTGATTGCAGAAGCAGGAGCAATCCCTATTCTGGTGAACCTTTTAACCTCAGAGGACGTTGCAACGCAGGAAAACGCAATCACTTGCATTCTCAACCTCTCTATATATGACAACAACAAAGAGCTGATAATGTTTGCCGGTGCAGTCACCTCCATTGTTCAAGTCCTTCGAGCAGGAACCATGGAAGCAAGAGAAAACGCAGCAGCGACACTCTTTAGCCTATCGTTAGCCGATGAGAACAAGATCATAATAGGTGGATCAGGTGCGATACCTGCCTTAGTGGATCTGCTCGAGAACGGGACCCCAAGAGGAAAGAAAGACGCAGCCACGGCATTGTTCAATCTGTGCATTTATCAGGGAAACAAAGGTAGAGCGGTTAGAGCCGGAATAGTAACTGCATTGGTGAAAATGCTCGGTGACTCGAGCCACCACCGGATGGTTGATGAAGCATTGACAATACTCTCGGTTCTTGCAAGCAATCAAGATGCGAAATCCGCGATAGTAAAAGCGGATACTTTACCCGCATTGATAGGTATTCTCCAGACCGATCAATCTAGAAACCGAGAGAACGCAGCAGCGATATTGGTTTCGCTGTGCAAGAGAGATACTGAGAAACTGGTATTGATAGGTAGACTCGGTGCGGTCGTGCCATTGATTGATCTATCGAAGAACGGAACAGAGAGAGGCAAAAGGAAAGCAATGTCTTTGTTAGAGCTTCTCCGTAAAGCATGCCAATAAATTTATTAATTGGTTGGCTCTTTCTTTAATTATGTTAATATTTTGTTCAATTGATTGATTTTTTTTGGATAGTAATTCCATTTGTTGAACCGAATTTGGAGATGGTGGTGAGCTCAAAGAGTTTTCGAGAATCGAGCTCTCTTTTTTTTTTTTGCTCGCTGCGTATTACAGATTATAAGGTAGATTGGTGGGGACTTCACGGAATCGGTTCATGTGAATTGGTTTACTCTTCTAATCAACTTTCCTTAGAAGAGAAGCAACTGTTAGAAATAAATAATAAAAGTATTTAGCTTACATTATTCGTTATATGTCAAAATTGCATTTGATTTGGTAGACCACACGCATGTCCTAATAAACTGGCGTGATAACCGGAAGAGTCAATTTCTTCGCTGGACGTATCAGAAACTTTGAGACAACCTTACCTCACAATGGGGCAAGTGAAGAAAGTGACGTTCCGAATTCAATGAATGAAATATAGATATTTCTGAGTTTGTTTGAAAGTTTCTTCAAGATTACAAGCTAAATGTGACATAGTATTGGCCCGGTTCGTTTGTTGTTGGTTTAACAGTCGCCGTCCAGCGATCAATTGCAATGACTGGTTGCAGCTGTAACACCCGCGAACCAAAAAGTGGATTTTTGGTGTTGCGTCGATCGACGCAGGTGTGGTGCGTCGATCGATGTACGTGTTTTGGACTTATGAGAAGTCGGGTTCTGGGTGTTGCGCCGATCGACGCAGGTGCTTTGCGTCGATCGACACAGGTGTCGGTAGGTTTGACTGTTTTAGTCAAACGGTCTTGCGCCGATCGACGCAGGTGCTTTGCGTCGATCGACGCAAGTTGCGTCGATCGACGCAAGTGTCGGCAGGTTTGGCTATTTCAGTCGAACAACAGGTTTTTTGGGGGAGAAATCGGATTGAGAGAGAGATTTGGGGGATTTGTGTTGTTTTCCCTTCTATTTCTATATCTTTGGGGCTTGTGTTCGGATTGGTGAAACTGTGGGATCGTGGTGGATCCGTGATTCACGAAGGAGGAAGGAGATTTTGGATTTATTGATCCGTTCTTCGTGTTCTTGTGTATTCTTGAGCATTTTTGATCCGATTTCCTTTCCGAATCGAGTTTAGTGCGTGACCATGGCTTATCTGGGTAAAGGATTTGATAGGATGCGATTGATTGTTCTTTGTGGTTGGATTTCGTGTTGATTGGTGGTTTTTATGCGATTGATTGTTGTTCGTGGTTGTATTTCACGTTGTACTGGTGGGTTTTGTGCCGGAGATCGATGGAAACGAGTTTCGGAATCGATCCATGAGAAGATAGGTTCGATTCTGGGTTCTGCGTTTG